GAGAGGCAGGGCAGGCACGGAGAGGGAAGGCAAGGCACGGAAGAGGGGCAGGGCCCAAGGCAACCGAGAGGGAAGGCAGGCACCGAAAGAGGGAAAGGCAAGGCAACCGAGAAGGGAAGGCAGCACCGAGAGGGGCAGGGCAGGCAACCGAGAGGGAAGGCAAGGCAACGGAGAGGCAGGGCAGGCACGGAGAGGGAAGGCAGGCACGGAGAGGGAAGGCAGGCACGGAGAGGGAAGGCAGGCACGGAGAGGGAAGGCAGGCACGGAGAGGGAAGGCAGGCACAGCTGCACCTGCAAACAAACCCACCGCGCTGGCTCTGCACAAATCCAGCTTCTGCACGATAAAATTTTACCTCTAGAAAGGCTGGCATCCCCCATAAGCAAGCAAAACCCACTGCAAAATACACAATTCAATCACATGGACTGTGTCGCTTAAAACCCTGAAAAAAATATGCTTGCTTATGTATGCATTCTACTTATTAATTGTCAGTTCTCATTCTTAGCTCTGAAGTCTACCAAGAAAATGCTTTTCTCCTTTCCCAGTGCCTCAAGAACGGCGCTTTGTTTACCCTCATGTGCTGTTGCACTGCACCATTTTGGTACACAAGATGACCATATTCTATTAAACTGTAAAAGGTCAGTACGCAATGCTGCAATAAAATCAACTTTGTGTAAAACAGATGACATTTATAGTACAAACACAATATTCAAGTCACTCAGGGAATAAACGTGCGCCAGCTGCTTTTCAAAGCAAAATCTTTGTTTACAAAAACCCAGCGCATGCAGCGAGAGCCAGCACAGCTCTGAGAATTATTCACAGAACTGGGGCCAAAACAGAGTTTCTTTCCAGAAAAAATATAAGAACATCGCTAAGCATGGACTACCCATACAGAATAAGCTGTATCTGCTTCATGCTGTCTCAAAAGCCATGAGCTCACTGCTAAAACACCTTGTTAGTTTGTCATAGTTACCTGATTTCCCAGGATTGTATCAACTCCTCTTTCCGTTAATTTCTAGAGCTGACCAAGTGTTTCCACCACCTCATTCAACACACAGTGGGTGTATTTCAGATCAGAACATACTGAAGGGTTTTGCATAAGTAATTACACAAAATCAATCAAAATTGGTACAATGTAGATGTAAGCCTATCTGTTCACAAATTAAACTTATGTGAAACTGTCATGCTTAAATTACCAGTCTTGAAATTTGGCAAACCACAAGCTTCAATCTTGTTTTGAAGATTTTTTTGTTACTTCCCCACGTAAAGGTAATTTTGACTTATGCAATTTGATGGTTTTTTGAGAAATAGAAGGCTGACTTCTGTTTCTCTTCACACACATTACACACTTGTATAACGTGGATGGTCCAGAAACTTGTTTCATACAAAACAACAATCCTTTTCCATCACTTGTTTCAAGCTGAATTTGCACAGAAGTTTTGGAAATCCACCTGCACAAAGCCACGTTCAGCTGGTATTGGGTGACCACAGTCCTGCCTCTCCTCCAGCAGCTCTGGGATGTTATCACCTCATTCCAAGTGAACAGTGAGGCACAGGTAGGAAGAACAGGAAATTCCCACAGGCTAAGGAAGCCAAAGGACAGAAGAATTCTTTGCTCTCCATCAGCCAGGGCACCACGGCACAAACCCTTGGTGTGCTGCAGGAGCACATTCCCACCTGAGGAGCCCAGGTCAAGGCCAAGGAAACCCCTCCCTCTGTCCAAGCTGGCCAAGGAGGCAGGACAAGCAACTTCAGAACTGATGGAGGAGGAGAAAAATCCAGGGGGTGTTTAAGTGAGGCAACAGCAAAGACGGGGAAGCAATTTAAAGACAGTAATCCAACCCAGCAGCTCTTGGTTCCCATCTCCTACAGAAGCTTTACAACCAACAGCTCTGAACTGAATGTGTTTTCAAAGAAGGAAAACTTGGGCTTTTTTCCTCAGCTCCGGGTTTCCCAACAGTAAAGAAGGAGCCACATAAATAATGTGGGGGGAGGAGGGGAGTATATGTTCCAGAAGAAATTAGTGCTGATTTAGCTTACCAAGAAGTGCTGACCAATGATTTCTGTGGGTCATGTCTGTGGTTTATAAAATATGAGCTATTTTAATAAGTCATAGTAAGTTCAGGCCCTGAGACAGCAATGACTTCATATGTAATTTGAACAATGCAGTGGTGGCAAGAATAAAAAATGGGAAAGGGATTCAACTGAAAATAAAATAAGTTTTAGATCTTCTTTAAAAAAAAAATAGCTATTTTCTCTGCAACTTCCAGATTTTCTTTCAAAGCAGGTTAGTCAGCAGTGTTGCACAATAAGTTGTCCAGTCCTGAAGATATTAAGTATGGCAACAAACCATATGAAAAACACATTTCAGGTTTCTGAAAGCACTGCTGCTCCAACACAACTATGCTGGTTCACTTCTGATTTAATAATTTAACATTAAATTGCTTACTACATTAACTATCCATGTCATGAACACACATCCAGATCCATACCTCTTTCAAGATAAATTGTAGCCCTAGGGATTACCTACAGAAAATGTTCATTAAGACAAACCAAATTAAAGCCACTTCCATTCTGAATGGGTGACCACAGAAGAGATTTAACTGAACTGCCTCAAATTAACTCTCACATTCCCCATGTCAGTCTTTCCTTCTGCACCAACACTGCAGACATATCCTAAAGAATAAGAATACCCTTCAAATTACCCCCTGGTTTGACACTATGCAGTGATCCTTTAGGCAGTATCCGGAGCTGACTTTTCCAGAAGCATTAGAAGACATCTTATAAGTCTTTTGTACAAAACTGTTTTCATATATTTTAAGCTGGTTTGGTTTTGGAGGAATCTGAGTTTTGCTGCACTACAGATCCTTGTTTTGCCCACCTATGACAACCTACAGCTGCACCTGGAACACACACTGTGCTCCAGCAATTCCACTGCAACTGGTTTTGGGGTCTCGCTGTGCCAGGTAAGGTCCCTGTATTTATGGGTGTCACTTAAATGCTAAGAAAGAAAAAGAACTTCACAGGCAGGTTATCTATGTGTGCAGTGAGACTGCAGATAAAGAGAGGCCAGAGACAGCCCTGGTTGTGCAGGAATACCACTGCTACATGGCACGGCTGGAACAGTTTAGAGGAAATTAGGACGCGAAAGGATCTCACTCCAGTTTGCAAATGGCTTTTTTTAACTGAGTTTAAATCCCAAAAATAAACCAAAATCAAGCAAGCAGCTCCAACCAAAGAATGCCTGAGCAGAAAGCTTTGGTTGTGCTCATACAACCTAAAGGCATTTTCCACTCCCGGTCCAGCAGCCTGTGGATCGCAGTGACAGGAGGGTCAGGGAGCCCCCTGGAAGCGCAGGAGGGACAAAGCTGCAGCTGGACACGAGCAGGCCGGGCCAGCACAGCCACCGCTGTGGGCAGGGCACGGCTCCAGGGGGGCGGGATACTCATCGTCCTGCTCTTCCCCCTGGACAGGGCACAGATCCCGGGGCGAGGGATGCCCACTGCTCTCCCTCTCACGGACAGGACAGGGCTCCAGGGGGCGGGATACTCATCGTCCTGCTCTTCCCCCTGGACAGGGCACAGATCCCGGGGCGAGGGATGCCCACTGCTCTCACGGACAGGACAGGGCTCCAGGTCTGCGGGATGCTCATCTCCCCTGGACGAGGCACGGCTCCAGGTGTTCCAGCTTCCCCCCGCTCATGCCCTAGTCCGGGCACAGCTCCAGGGCTGCGGATGCTCCGCCCGAGCCCCTCCGCTTTCGCTGACAGGCGGCCACGGCCCGGCGCAGCCGCGTTCCCCCGGCCCGGCCCGGCCCTCGCTCCGGCCGACCTATGCCGCCCAACGGGCTCCGCGCCCCCGCCCGCTCCTGTCCGCTCCTCCCCAGGCGCCTGGTCGGGGCAGAAGCGGCCCGCCCGCCCTCACGGCCGGCTCAGCGCCGCCCGCGGCCGAGCGGACGAGAGCGGCGCCCCCGCTGAGGGGAACGGGACCGCACAGGACAAGAGGACAGCGCGGCGCTGTGCCCGCTCGGCCCGGCGCTCCCCGCCCGTACCCATACCGGCCCGGCGCTCCCCGCCGTGGCCCGGCCCGCCAGGCGCGTACCTGTTCGCCGGCCCGCGCACGCTACCCGCCCGCACCCGGCCCGCGCCCCCCGGCCGTGCCCGGCCTCGCCCGTACTGCGCCACGGTGCCGCTCGCTCGGCCGCGCTCACAGAAAATGGCCGGCCCGCGCCCGCCGACATTTATCCCCGCCCGCCCGCTCGGCCGCTCCGGGCTGCCGTCCTGCGCCGCACGGCCCGCCCGCTCGCCCCCGGCCCGCCGGGGAGCGCGAGCGCGTCGATCGGCGCCGCCGCCATTATGGGAGCGGGCGAGGGAAGGAGAATGGAGGGACGGATCCCGAAGGGCAATGGGGGGGGATTCTGAGGGGAAATCTCGGCCGCCGCCGCGCTCCAGTCCTGCCCCGGGAAACCGACCTGGGCGCGGGGGAAATGAGCGCTGCCGGGGGCTGGAGCGGGTGCCCGAGCCGTGCCGCCTCCCCTCGGCTCACCCTCAGAGCGTCCCCCTCAGCTCCCTGACCGGCTCCCCCTTAGCCATGACCTCGGCTTGAGCCCCTCAGGAATTTGACAGTTAATTAATGAATTAATTAACTAACCGGGGCCATCGGCAGCGCCTGAGCCGCGGTGTGGGCCCGGGACAGCCCCGAGTCCTGCAGGGCACACACCTCGTCCTACCTGTGCGGGGCAGAGCCCGGCTCTGCGGGGAACGGGCAGCGCGCCCCAAGGGGCGGTGCGAGCCGAGGGGTGGGGTGCGCGCTGCTGGGAAAGGGACCGCAGGAGAAATTTTAAAAAAATAATAATAAAAAAAAACAGCGTGCGAGCTCTTTTCCTGGAGGAGACAGGGAACAGCTGTCAGGCAGCGATCCCCGTGTAACTCGGGACAGGCTCCATGGAAAAGTTGGGATACCAAAGGGCTCTGGCTGGAACTCCCAGTGCTCCACGAACTCACTTTTAGCTTTGAAAACGTCCAGCACGGCACATCAAGTGGTGAACGGGGGGTTTATCACCCCAAAACGCAGCTCCCAAGGACAGCCACTGCAAAGGAAAACATCTCTCCTAGAACTGTTCTTAAGGAGCATGCATGTTTGCATTTACAGTCATGTAAGTTCCATTAATTGGTAATTAAATAAGCATTTCTCTAAAAAGAGCCTCCAGCAAACTTCTCTCAGCCTTATTTGGGATTTCTCTACAGCAGAAGGTTTATTCTGATATAAACCAAGACTTGAGTCCAGCTAAAGTCACATTAACCTCACAGAGGCATGGCAAGGGCAAGGAAAAAAAACAACACTGTTGGGTTTGCCTCTCCTAAGCACCAAATGAGAAAAAAATCCCCAAACATACAGAATCTTTAGATACTGGTGCCCTCCAGGAAGAGATGTAGGTGCCAAGTAATAGAAGATTGAAATGGGGGTGACAGCCAGGAGCTCTGGAAGGCTGAAACACAAGTTTCCGTGTCTTTAGGATGCTGTGATTCAGTGTTTTATCCCCATATGTTCTAAAAGTTACCACTTATTCCAGTGTAATAAAGCCTTCAATTTAGAGGATATTTATAAAATAAATATTTAAGCTTTTTGTAGCACTCTTTCACAAGACAGACCACATGGAGATTTCAGCCTTGCTCTTAAAAAAAAAACTGCTTCTCTTGTTTTCCTCTTCCCCATTGCCCTGGGCTCAGACCTACCAAAAAAACCCAGAAAACCAAGTCCAGACCAAGACAGTGCCTACCAAGGACAACATTTAAACATGTGAATCATCCTTTTCAAATTCCTATAGAGTAACTTTCCTTTAAGTGTCTCGTTTATACTGAAGAAGTCCTGTGATGCACAGACACTGTTTATTTATCTGACTTTAGCAGGAGTCATAGCCATGTATCTGAGAAACAAATGAACTGGAGGCAGCGGGTACAGTAAATATTCACATGGTTTTGGACTAAGCAAATCCCTGTAACATGGTAGAAAGTAGTACAGACTTTAGAAAAACATGCAAAAGGATCTTAAAATATTGTAATGTAAAATATAAGTACCTACCATGAGGAGCTTAAAAAGAAAGAGGTAAAAGAAGGAGGGACATCCACCTCAAGAAGAGGTGGTTTTGATAAAGACTCATAAAGTTTTAAACTTCTTTGAAAAGGGTAGAAGGATCAAGGATTGTATCTGGAACAAATAAACACAGGTCTGGAGGAAAGCAAGCCAAATTTCAGAGAGTTAAACAATGTGGCACATGCAAAGAAATACAATAATTACAAGAAATAAGAAGAAAAGCAAACAAGGAAACCAATCAAAGAGACTGAAACAAGGCAGCTCTAATGTAGAAGGGAAACAAAAATGGAACAAACTTTCCAAAATAAACTGAAAATTCTCAGCATTCTTGCTGAGGCTGACCTGGTTTGTGCTTGTGCTTAGATGTCTGGGGTGTGAATGTCCAGGTATTGGACTTCCATTTGTCCAGGCCCACAATCCCATCTGACATTTGCACCCTCTGAGGGGTTTTATGCCTGTACAAAAAGCAGCTTGAGGAGTGATTTGAAGGGGAATGAGAACCATGGGGGCTGGGCCAGGCTGAGTTAGGGACAGCAACCATTATCTTGAGCAATCTGCCTCGTGGCTGTAGCCTGGGAATTCATTCCCTTTCCTCCAGTGGGTATCTCAGCCAGGCAGAGCCATCCCAGCTCCCCAGACCCCGGTTTGCTCACAGCTGAAAACGAGAGGGATGATGCCCCGTGAGCATCTTGGAGCAGAGTTTGAATTCTGGCTGCTGAAAAGGAGCCGTAAAAGTTAAACCTTTCCTCATTTGTGGTGGTTCAGTTTGCTCCATGCAATATTCCTGAATTCCCAGCCCACTTAACTGTCATTACCTGGGGATTCTCCAAAAGTATCAAATATTTGAAGTGGCATGGTGTAACTTAATTGTATCCTCATTACATGACATAGCTGTGAGCCTCAGAAGAATGAGTAGCAAGAATTAGGAGTGGAATGCTGGCTGGAGGAAAGGAGAAATGTATATACACAGTTCATTATGGAATTTGGGGTATCAAATCTTACTCCCTGACTCCTCAAGCCAAGGATTACTATAGAGAAACTTTGCCACTTTATCCAGGTTTCTTCCCCCTGAGCCACAGTCCAAGCTTTGTCCCTCTGCATGCCAGGTTGATATGTGCTACAAGTCATTCTCTTATTCTCCCATGAGATTTTCTTTTTTGATTAAGAGAACATTGCTTAGTTTAGGTCAAGTTAGATACAAAAGAAGTCCAGTGTACAGAGGCCATGAAGAAAATGGCCTTGAACATAAGCATTTGCAACCTAAAAGAAAAGCCAAATAAGGAATCTCTAGTTTGTTATGGTCGTGCATAAACTATTTATACTTTATCATTCAGCTGAAAGACTTTATTATTTGCCTGTGTCACTGAAGTGTTCAAAGAAGAGGGTTGGAAATAGTTTATAATAATTTATAGTTTGGGTTTTTTCATGCATCGAGAATTCAAATTGCATAAATTACTTTATAACAACAGGACATATAAAGCTGTTAAGAATAAGTAAATTTGTTTTGCTGGACTGAAAACCATAGCACAGTCTGTTCACATTAATTATTTTTGCTGGTTTGTCCTGAAAAAATTCTCAACTTTTGATTTTATCCATATCCAGCCAAAAGTGGTTGCTGTTGGGCTGGCTGCGGTACGTGCCTCACCTGATCACTGCTTCATTCTATATCTAAGTTAAAGTTAGTATCTTCATTTTTCCTCTTCTTCCTTTTCACTGCTTTAACTCTTTTCATTTAAGAAACATATTTATCTAAAAAAGTTACACTATTCCATAGAGGAATATTATCCTCTATTGCATGTTCTTCCAAAACTAGTTTCATCTCTAGTACTATAATCTATTAGGTGTTCATCCCTACGTGGTTCTTGGCTGTCTTTCTACAAAATTAACAATAAAAATGTTTGATGAAAGCATCAGTTATATAGCTTTTCAATACCAGTTTGTGTGGGAACACTTCAGAGTAAAATTGAAACAGCTTTTCATTAAGCCTTGCACTAATTAAATTATTCTGGGAGTGCAGCTCTATAAACAGCAAACAATAATCTCTTACTGAAAAAAAATAATGTCATGATAATCTTACGTGAAACATTCTTACAACTTCCAAGAAGCCCTGTCCCAGTGGCCAGCCGGTAATTCCTGGTATCACAGCTACCCAGTGTGTGCCCAGTTATCCAGGGGCAGCAGAGCTGTCCTGCTGCTCCAGTTTCAGTGCCCTGCCCTTTGCTTCTAGGAACACCCAGGGCACTGCCCTGCCCGGCCCCTTCCCTCCCACTCCTCTCCAGGCAGGGCAGCCCAGTGCCTCTCCTGAACTCCCTTCCCTCCCACTCCTCTCCAGGCAGGGCAGCCCAGTGCCTTTCCTGAGCTGTGGGTGCTCCTTGGCAGGACTCCCTCCCGGATTCCCCTCTCCCGGTGTCCGAAGGAGCTGTGCCGTGCCCGGAGCTGTCCCCGAGCCCAGCCGCGGGCAGTGCCCCCGTGCTGCTCCACTCCCTGAGGCCCCTTGCTTTGGCAACGCACAACAGCCCGACAGAAAACATCCCCAAAGCCACGGGGGCTCGCAGTGGCCTCTGCGAAATCGTGTCTGGCAATAGAGGGAAAGGTGTATTTTCTTAGGCCACCAGCGCGTTGGTTTTCCCCAGAGCTGGAAATATGTTGGAGGGGTTGCAGTTACATTCCCAACGGAGGGATTGAGAATCTGGGCGACATTCCTTTCATCACACACACAACTTAGGAAGCTTCAAAGAGGAGCACAGGACAAACACACCAAGGCAGTTGCTATAGCACTGTGTACTGAGAATGTCACAGCACGAAAATAATTTTAGATGAATGTTTTATAAATTCAATGTGGAGATGCTGACCTGATGGGTGCCACCTGCACAGTGAATAAAAACAGCCTGAACAAGCTCTCTTGGAGCTTCAACAGGGGGAGAAAACAATTTAAAAAATTAAAAATCTAGGCTACAATTTGTGTCTACTTGAGCAGTCATTCCTACTGTAGAGACAATAAATACAGCACTTTGATTTATACATGTATTCTATTTTTGAAACCTAACCAGACTGGTTTATTGGGTTTATTTTGACTTTCTGAAAAAGTCTAACCACAATAAAATCTATTCAGAGCTAGGTACTACAGTTTAAAAATAGCAAAGCAGAAACAACTCTTTCCTGACAAACATTTTAAGAACCTGAGCTGAATATACAGTAAGAACATCTTCTGCAGCAGAGCAATTACACCTGATACAGAGTCTCAGGAAGGACTGATCACCAGATTTGGTGGGACCTTCAGCTATGCAGGATTTTTCCTGTGCATGGACAGCTTCTAGTGTGGTAACTGAGCTGTGTTCAATACTTAGATCGTCTACAAGTTGCTCACTGCAATAATGTACCCCAGGATGACAGGAAAATGTCAGTTTTCTGTGAGGAATCATGAGTGCTGGATCAGCAGGAGGTAAAATGGGAGGCTGTGAGGATGTGCACATGTGTATCAGACTATATCTGAAAAATATATAAACTTTATCTTTCTTAAATCACATTTGTTATGTTTCTTCATAAAAAAAGACAAACTGGTTTTTTTATAGCTCTGCTCTCGTTGTCATGTGTTTGCACTGTGCACAGAAACACTCATTCTCCCTGACATTACAGGGCTTTTATCCAAGGGAGATTTTGGAGACAAGGGAACCTGAAGCAGCCCAGCCAGTGAATCTGTCCAACTGCTATTCCCAGGTAACACCAGGCTAATTAGCGTGTAGGTCTAAGGTTATAAATACCTGCACCATTCAAAAGTTCAACGGAGGGAGCAAGAGGACAAATGAAAAGTCCATTTTAGCCATGTGCACACATTCATGCACTGAGAGAAAGGGAACTCTCACGTTCTGGGTTCTGTTAGAAAAATCTGTGCAAAGAAAGACAAAAGGTCTCTGGCTTTCAGCACAAACCTATTTATCCATTGTCTTTCAAGTTCATCTCAGGCATTCAGCTAAACAAAGATAGGTGATCAAAGGC